GAAAGAGTTACATAAGTGAAGTAAATTAGTATTAATATCTTTAGATTAATTAACTGTCTAATATCATTTTTGGTTTAGATATAATTTGTGGTATTTTAATCGCTTTTGGTGTGTGAGATAATTTGTTGTAGATTTTTAGTGTTCTGCAACGTGAGTACGTTTTATAGTTCTCAATGTAGAGCTAGCGAACGCGGAATACATTAACATTAAAATTATACGGTAGCGCGTCGGTAGAATTAGAAATTGCAGTTTCTTCTACGCGGTCTTTAAGGGTCTATATAACCTCAAATGGCTTTGGTTGGTTCCGCATAACAGTGGAAGTGTTGAAACAATCACTTTGGAAAAAATATATAGTAAAATCATTGACTTACAAATAAATGGACGACGGGTCTAATACAAAAACCACGAAAAAAATGTCCCAAGTCAACCTATTCGAAATTTAAATTGTAATGTCATCGCAGTATCGCGCTGTCAGTAGAACAAATGAAGACTAAAGCGGAGTGTCGCGCTCTGTATACGATTTTAGCGCCTTACAAGTGCGGACACTTTTTAGCGCGGACCCGACGTCTATATAATTGTAAGTCAATGAGTAAAATTGAAGATATACACTGATTAGTATATGGTGTGATAACACGATCCCTAAAAATTTTTTTGATAGAAAAAAAACAAACTTAGCTCGAAATATCACAAGAAGACAGCCGTATTCAATAGGTACTTTACATATACCTACTAATGATTTCTTTATAAATCAATTGAACTAAATAGAACACGTATAGCCTCCTAAGGCCTAACAAACTGCAATGGGATAAGCGCTAAACGTCCGATGTACATTAAAATGGAAGGATGTCTTTAGTTTTGTATGAAAACGCATTTTTCTAGATACAATAGGCTTATGGTCATATGGAATACATAGCGCTAAATTTGAATGCGGTATTTTCATTATAATATACACTGGGCGTTTATCTGCGCCCGTGGGCGTGGGTCTGAGTCACTTCACATAATTATGTACATTTTTATGTATATGAGGCTTTAGGAGGATATACGATATAAATTTGTCACGTGGTTTTGTGATGTCCTTACCGCTTGACCCAAGCATAATGAACCGTATTAGTACGGGAAAAATTTTAATTCGAGATAAGAAATTTTAACTCTTAACTGCTTCAACATTATAAACTTACGGTAGAGATCATTGACTTATAAATAAATGGACGACGGGTCTAACACAAAAACCACGAAAAAAATGTCCCAAGTCAACCTATTTAAACGTAATGACATATAAAGGAATATGAAAAAGCTAAAACGTTGAATTTAAATTGTAATGTCATCGCAGTACTGTCTAATTTTGCTTGCTTCGCTGTCAGTCGAACAAACGAAGACTAAAGCGTGAATGACGCTCTGTATACGATTTTAACGCCCTATAAGTTCGGACACTTTTTAGCGCGAACCCGACGTCCATATAATTGTAAGTCAATGGTAGAGATATTAATCCTCTAAATAATGTTGAAAGTTGAACTTTGAACTTTATTTACAACAGTTAAAGAACAAACAAAATAACAAACGCGACTTATAAATGTAAATAACATCTCAACGAGTCATCAGCAAGTAAACATGCGAGTACATAACAAAAGATTAGATCCGAATCTGTGATACCGATTCGGTTTGCCGTATGAATAAAACATGGCGGCCGGGGGTGGCTCCCAACCCTTTCCCTAAGTTTAATAAACGTTCACCCCTCCTGGTTTTTTGTGACAACTCACTAAGGGTTGAGGATTTCGCATGAGTATTGATTTTTTTCATGTTTATACTGTAGCTTGTAGTAGAGTAGACGGATTCATTTAAAATTTCTACAGCTATATATCGTATCTTTAATACAATAAAGACACGTATGATGAAACGTCAAAATGATACCTCTAATGGGACATGGCTATGCAAACAAGAACCAACCCACACCTCGAGTGAAATTGAGTTATGTATTTAGGTAGAACACCAGACGTGTCCTTTACCCGCTCACAAAAGATCCTGGCAATATACGAAGCCAAAACGGAGAAAATAAAAATCCTTCAGGGTACCAACCCTAAATACCTAAGTAACTTTTTAATAGCTAAAAAGAACCACATAACGTATTTTTTAAAATATGCTAAATGGATCCATGTCACATATACTGAAGTACTGTAGATCTTTAGCGTTTTCATTACAATAACTAGAACGTGGTTCTCGTCAACTAAATAAAAAGATACATAATGTTTTCTATTCATTGCTATATAATATAATAGTTTCCCTATATCATTCTCAATGCTACACATAACTCACGTTGTTTGTTTCAAATAACTTACCTATTTATTTCTTCACACTGTTTTTATAAAAATCTAATTATCTCGAAAGTGACATTTTGAAGATTGGTTCTAGTTTGCATAACTACGTCCAATGAACACTACGCGAATTTAATTTTTTCCACCAATTCTATTTTTAATTTGTTTTTTGTTTCTTTTTTTTTCACAAAATTCGTTTTTATCACCATTGACCCATTTATACGGCCCACTGCAGGGCGTTGGTCTCTTCCCAGACGATGGTTTAGGTCATAGTTCAATTGCTGTTGGGGACTTCATACATTTTTCGACGTATCAGTTTCATCACGGTGTTTTTCAAACCAACGTTTCGGACTTTTTTAGAGTCGATACTATCTTAGTTCGAATTTAACATTTTACCCGTACTAATACGGTTCATTTTGCTTAGATCAAGCGGCAGAGACACGGTCTTAATTTCAGAATTTATTTTTTTACAAATTAAACTAAAACCAAAATGTATATCGTATACTGTTCGTGTTATATTTAGTTCCCTATTGAATACCGCGGTTTTCTTGTAATATTTCGAGGTAAGATTGTGTTTTTTGTTTCTGTCGTGAAAATTTTTACGAATCGTGTTTTCACACCGTGTACCAATCAGTGTATATCCTCGATATATATATATATATATATATATATATATATATATATATATATATATATATATAATTTTAAAGTGATTGATTACGGGATCAACCAAAGCCATTTAAGGTTGTATCGAGTCTTAAGGTTCCATGGTCACAGATGAACCTATGAAAGTCCGAAAACAATAATTCCCAATTAATAATTTCCATTACACATCCACATGTTACATGACATCGTTTGTTTTTTAGTTACTGAACTTGACGATGGACTGTGGTGAGCCTAACTTTTTTTTCGATGAAAAAAAACATTGACACGTTCAACTACGCAATTTGTCGTACATTATTTAAGTAATATAAATCCGTAGGTATATTTATTATTGCTGACATTAAATTGACAACGGTAACTACTTTTGTTTATTAAAACTGATTTGTTATAGTTCAACTGTTTTTCTTTCATCTGCCATTTTCCTCGCTATAGTGAGGTGAAAAGTTGTGTGTTTCGCTCGGCAGCAAAGTTGTTTTGCGTCTCGTGTCTTCAAACCCTCGCTACGCTCAGGATTTAATACAAGCACTCGCGTCGAACAACAACTTTGCAGCTTTGCATAACAAATAACTATTCTCGCCAATGCACGTTTGTGATTATAATTACGAATTAAAATTACTGACATTGATACCGCCGCGGCAGTGGTACTATGCTAAGTCCACAAATCATCAGGCGCAAAGAAAAGAAAATGTAAAAACAATTATTTTCACACGGTTTCGAACTGGTTGCTTTTTGTGATGACTCACAATTGTCAATGGGGGAGCAATGATTATCCCTTCATAACCCTTTTGTGCTGCCCCTTTCGCCAAATCACCATTCATATAACATTATTATGTAACTCGAGCTGCTCTTGCTTCTGTGTAACTGTGGACATTGTATCTCGCCTCGCTAATGGTGGCCAGGTGATGAGGATGTCTCGAGTTCGATCTCGATGAGACTAATTTGGGAAATTAACTTTTGATTGATCTAGGTCTGGGTGTCACGGGCAGTGCCCTAAAGTAAACTTCATTGCTCTGGTAATGAGGCTATAGGGAATGCCCTAGCTTGGGACTGGGTAGGTAATTCTAGTGGCACCTTGTTATATTATCATTATCTTTTGATCTCTTGCAGAAATATTGAACATTTGTTTATTAATATAAACAAGTGCGCGAGTGCTGGTGAATGGAAAACGTCGTCGTCGTCGATGAACACGTCGTGCGCCTGATGTTAAGCTACACGCCTGTCTATAACAGTTGCAGTGCCACTCAGAGCTTTAAATTGCAAAGATCTGAGGGACACTGCCAGTACGCCCGACACCCTGAGATAAAAGTTGACAAGTCCCATGTGCCTGTAATTTCACCAGCACGCTTACCCTTCAAAACTGGAACACAGTAATGCTGACATTACTGCTTGGCGGCAGAAATAGGTAAGGTGGCAGTAGGTACTTCCTTGGATGATCTCTTTCACGAGGAGCTCTACTGCTACTTTATATAGAGTTCTCAAGATTTCGCGATTGTTACATATAGAAAATGAAAATATTTTTCCGAATTTAAATGGCGTATATGTCGAAAAAAGTTTGTTTCCAAATTACTGGTAGTCGAACCCGTGCACCGTGGTGTCCTCATCTAACACCCATATTGGGGTCATCGATGTCAGCACATTGTGACAAACACATAATCGATTTTATGCTTCTAAACAAAAGAAACAACCAAATAAGATAGTGTCTAACAAAGTCTATAATTCATTTATATGAAGGTACGCAGAATATAAATACGCGAATCGGGAAAAGAAAAAGGCATAACGATGACAGTTTTGGAAAGTAAACAAGCCCATCGTCGATGGAATATCGCAAGATTTATGATCCGAAATGACTCCAGATTCCCTTTTCATATATAACGAGTAGGAAAGTTTTCCTCCTTCTCATAATTTTAGATTCCCAAGGAGAATATTTTTTCGTTTCACACAGGGCTGCATTTGGAAAACAATAAAAATAATAAATCGTTTTACTTTCTCTTTTGATAATAGCCTATTAAATCTGACTAATAATACCAGGCGCTCACTACGAGGAAAAAGGAACCTAAGCACGCGCTGCGAGAGAAGAAAATAACGTTGTCCGCCGTGTGCAGCCGTGCGGAACCGAATTTTCATAAATGAAGTAAGAGAACTTGCGCCGACGTCGGCGCACTCAGCGGTATGCACTTATCGCATAACCTTGAGCGAGTGACGGAGCCCTGATGGTGGTAAGCGGAAGGTACGCTTGTCCATGACAGTTGCAGACCTTTATATTGCAAACTGCCACTGCGCCTGTCACTGTGTGACAAGTACCATATGTCTGTCATTTTACCTGCACTCTTACCCTTCAAAACCGAAAGGCAGTAATGCTCACATTATTTCTTGGCGGCAGATGTAGGTAAGGTGGCAATATTTTCCTGGACGAACTCTTTCACAAGGAAGTCTCAAAAGATAAGTTATGTTTTAAACTTTTCTTTCAGAGAGACATTCTGAGACACAATTTATTAATTGTCCAAATTCTATTAATGTTGGCGCCATTTCCTTAAACCAAAAATGTGGCAATAGCTAAAATAAATTAAACTCGCAGTTTCTCCGACTGAAAGCTGTCGAATTTGTTTGTTTTGACAATTTTGTTATTTGTGGACTCTAAGATATTATATATGAGTATACGATCATTGTGTGGACTCCATTTCAATTCTCAATTTCAGTTATACCTAAAATTACAACTGTATTTATACTCCGGAAAGTAAACGTTTTCAATGAAAAATAGTACATTATTGCAGAGGCCAGGAAGTAAGGGATTGCTGGACGAGTTAGAGTTACAAGGACGAGCGCAAGCGAGGCCTTGTATTAACACGAGTCAAGCAATCCCCGTTCCCGCGGAGGCACGTATCGAATTTTTCTCAAACAATGTGAGGAAATAATAAAAGACTAAAAAGAGGAAGATGTTTAATAGAAAAAGTAAAAAAATATATATATATTAAAGGTTTTTAGCAAATTGTCGTAACTTGACGTGTTACGAAAATTTGGTAAAAGAAAATGTTATTGTTTTTCCAGGCACATTAGTAGTAGTCTGATAATGTGTTTGAATGTGTATCTATTACTGTATTTTCGTTGTCGCTCTTCTTACTAGCACTCATTTTCGCGTCAAAATACAAAAAAGACGAAAAAACAAAAGAATACCAAAACACTTAGTTTAAGAGTTACCGCCATTTTTATTTTTTTAAGTAAGCGGTATAGGTAGGTTAATTCTCGCATCTATGAACACTGGGCTGTATGAGTTTTTTTTTTGCCTGTTTACATAGTTAAATATTAGTTAGGTAGATTTAAAAGTTTAGAGAAGTGGACAATAATGGCTTTTCATATTTATTTTGCAGGCCTTGGCCGGAAAAAAGTCGCATGGTCCTTAAAAGACAAACTTTCCGTGTTCGTTTTTTGAAAGTCGTGCAAACATTTCCGAGCATGTTTCAGAAAAACAATTTTTTCGGATCTAAATAGCGTGTATTTGTTATTTCAAACACCAATGTTTCAGGCCCTTTATTGGTCCTATGGTGAAGACGTACTGACATGGTAAAGTAATCAACCAGTTTTGACTAATATTAATGCAAACCACTCTATTTTTCACTACAGTTTCAAAAGTAATTAATTAAATACCTTATTTTTAAGAATTCGATATGAATCTATACTCTTCAAGGTTCTTAAAGTAATGAATTGTATCTAGATGTTTCGGGTCCATATCGGTTTCTCCTATAAAGTACCTAATAATACCCCACCTTTATCTCTCTCTAGTATCTATTTTATGTTTGTCTGACGTATTGTTACACTCATTTACCGCACATTTCGTCATTTTTAGCTAAAATTCTTGATCTGTTCGCGGTGCAAGTTGACCTTGAGCACTGAAGGCCCGCCCGCTCGTGTAGGCCCGTTGGGCGCGCTTCAATTTGCCTCACTTAGCGTGTGCGGACTAGGTTTCTATGCGTTATTATTCTAAGCATGTAGGTATAGTATTATATCGTTATTTATTATTTGATAAAATATAATGTTAATTATTGTTTGTCTATACAATTCAAATTTTGCTATTGGCAAACTACGTATACCGCTCTGATTAGTTTTCCTATATCTCAAATGTTGTCTGGAAGATATCGCTCTTAGCGATAAGGCCGCCTTTGCCCACATTAGTTTTAAGCTGTCTATGTACTGTTTTTGTTCCAGAATATGAGTAATAAAGTGTACATCTATCTATTTATCTAATACCCTAGGTATAATAATAAAACCACTGTGATGGGTCAAAAGTACTTTTATGAACGTCATAAAAATAATATGAACAACTAAAATAGTTATCGCTTGATTTAGTTTGTAACATATTTAAACTTTTCTCCTGAAAAGTTATCGTTTTACAGATATGGCCTTATTACACCAAGGATGCGATATGTCACATAGTCAACGTTACAGATAAAAAATCGCTGAATTTTCAGAAAATTCCGGGTCCAGGTACCGAGTCGTGGAAATTCTCCTATAATGTTTTTGTTATAGATCTTTGTACTGACATTTTCGGCATTCGTCGCCGCTAGTGACATCTAGTGAGAGATTTTTGAATAACCTCCTCACCGCAGCCGCAAAAAACAAAATTTTTCTGTGTTCGATCTTTGAATTCTTTGATGTTTGAAACCAGTTACGTAATTACACTATGGTATAAGGAAATACATCTGTAATGGTAGCTGTAAGAGTTTAGTATTCATAATTTGTTGCTTTACTATCGCATATGGTTAAACCTGTCATGATAGTTTAAGTGATTTTAAAAATAAATAAACATATAAATTCATAATGATAACAATGGTTAGTTGAGTTATTCTACAAAAAATCTCAATAAATACATTTTTTATTAAAATTACAGAGATGTTAAACAAAATGAGTAAAAATGAATAGCGGTAAAGATAAACTTATACATTTCGTATTTATTCAGCAGTCTTTTAAAAGACAAGTGTTCACGAAAATTTCGCGACTTCCTTATGCGGCGGCACCTTTGCTATATTAGCTGGCATATAAAAAAAAGTCGAATTAATTACTGTTTCCTACCCGAACCTCACTCCGTCCCTCTGAGGGTTAAAAAGGGACGGCCGGCGAGAACGGGACGTACATAAAATCCATACTTATAATATTTGCAACCTCCGCTTCTCTAGTGCTCCTCACACATATACTGACATATACAAAGACGCACACACACGAAAAGCGCGATTTACCACTCTTTGGAGAGTTTCGGACCGTACGCAGGGTGTTACAGAATTAATACTTATTTACTGAGGCGGCTCGTCCTAAGGAGCGCTGGTGCAGTGAACTCCCGCTCCTATACAACCCACCAAAATAAATTTATTAATTATGCTTTCATATTACAATAGTAGCTGCAGTATTTTTTTTTATTAATGAACGACAAACATACAATTAGATTTTATCTTTCTCTTTAATGTAGTATAGCATACCGACCCTTGAGTGGAGTGCTTCGCGATGCGCTCCTATGAACCGACATTGTTTACAAAGAGAAATTTCTAACAAAAGATTAGTATGAGGCATCGACATCATAACCTAGATTAGGTTACGATGTCGATGATATGGGGAAATTTTACAAGATTTGAGCGGCGCTCCCCACAAATAAGCGAACCGTATTTTTTTCGCGCGCATTTTGTTGTGTTGTAAAAATTTTTATTATTCAATCGTTGTTAAGAAGCGTAGTGTTTAGTGGTATTGTTTAAAATGGAACACTATAATGTGAGTTTAATTTTTTATTTAAAATATGGATAGGTAAGTGAATTCTAACTGAAATCTCTCACGAGCCGCCTCCGCTTTTTACATGAAGAATGTAAATATCAATGAAAGCTGCTAGATACTTGAATGTCTCAACGATCTACAAAGGATCTTGGTGTCTTATGCTGAGTGATGCTATTCGGTTTTTTTTTATAATATCAAGTGACGGGACGAACGAGTCGTGTATGCCTGATGGTAAATTACACGCCTGTCCATAACAGTTGCAGTGCCACTCAGAGCTTTAAATCGCAAAAATTTGAGGTGCCCCGTCACCGTGAGACATAAGTTGACAAGTCTCGTGTGCCTGTAATTTCACTAGCAACCTTACTCTTCGGTCGTAAGGTGACAGCACTTCCCTGGACGTACACTTTCCCAATGAGCTCTACTGCTGCTAATATAATAAATAAGAAAAATATACTAATAAATAAATTTAGTCGGATCTCTACGGCGTGATGTCCAAGATGTTGACTTGTTAAGTAGTTTATATATTATTATTACAAATAGTGGACATTACTAGATCAACTGTTGAAGACTCTATTTCTGAATTCTAAAATTTTTTATAATTTTGAAGTTAAAAAAAAACTTAAATTTATTTTATATATTGACGGCCTCTGTGGTCGAGTGGCTTGCACACAGGTTTTCATGGTGTCGCCATCTCTGTGGTCCCGGGTTCGTTCTCCGGCCGGGTGAGTGTGGAAATTAACTTTTCGATATTGTCTCGGGTCTAGGTGTTTGTGGTATAGTCGTTATTTCTGATTTAAATAACGCAAGTGCTTTAGCTACTAACTTTGGGATCAGAGCAACGTGTGTTGTCTAATTTATTTATTTACGTGACATCTAATTTATTTATTTATTTATTTAACTGCCTCCGTGGCCCAACGGTTACCATGCTCGACTGCCACGCAAGAGGTCCCGTGTTCTATTCCCATACCGGAAGAAATATTTGCATATCCTACATTCATTTCTCTCGTGAGTTTGGGTGTAATTTATAGTTGTCTATGTGTGTGTCCATCTCACCCGCGATACAGGGTTTTCCTAATACAGGGCTATGAGTGTGTGCGCGTTAAAAAAATAGTAAATAGAATGCTCCACACTGGTACATTTTCCTTCTTAAATTAAAATATATTAAAAGCTAGATAGTATATTTATTTTGTTTATGACTGCATAAAGTTCTGACAGAAGTTACGTGGTATTTTCGCTAAGAATTCTGAAGTACTATCAGTGAAGTAGATGCCATACCACTTTGAGGTTTCTTTTTGCGTGCAAGCAACGGTGAAGGTCACGCGCAGTATGCGTGTTTTTGTTAACCAATTTCGCTTATAGGATAGATTTTTGTTTGAGTG